TTGATTTCAGAAGGAATGGATTATATTTTTATCATATATTATTTATTTATCTATATTTAGGATGATTTAAGGAAATTTTGGGAGGAAATAAATCATATTTTATTATTCTATTTTTAATAGGAAATTAATCAGTAGATTTTAGTGATATTTTTGCAAATTTATATTAGGTTTTTATTATTAATAAAATTTTAATATTTAATAAATTTAATAAATAAAATATACCAATTATTGATGCTAAATTGCTTGTTTGATTGAAGTCGATTGGCATCAATCAACGTCTGAATTGTTGCTGAATTAATTCTGAATTGAGACTAATTTGACTGATTTATGGTTGAATTGCTTGTCCAATTGGAGTCGATCAACATCTGAATTATTGCTGAATTGAGGCTAATTTTAGGCAGATTTATGGTTATTTAAGTTCTGAATGGCCATATCTGATTGAGGTCGATCAGTGTCTATTAGCGTTTGAATTATTGTCAAATTAAGGCCAGTTTTAGGCTGATTTATAGTTGAATTTAAGTTCTAAATAACTATGTCCAATTGGGGTCAATTGATATCTATCAGTACTTGTTTATGCTAATCAGAAAACATGGCAAATTGGACATAAATAGTATCAAAATCAGCCTAAAATCAGCCATCCAATTTTTAGCTGATTTGGATTATTTCAACTAGTGTTATTAATTCAAAACTATATTTAATTCAACAATAAACTCTAATTTAGATTTAGTAGCAAAATAATGATACATTTGAAAATTATCAATTTGAAGAAGTTGATGAAGATGATAAATCTGATACTAGACAAAAAATCAAAATAAATACACCTACTAATACATTTGGACTTTTAGATAATATTAAATTAAATTTTTATAAGATACTTGAAAATTATTTTAAGATAATTAAAAAAGAAGCACTTATTGTAGCACTTTTAAATCTATGTAAGAAAAAAATAATATTTACAAATGATGAGCAAAAGGAATTAGCAAAAGTTAATCTTCATAAAGTTTATAAATTAGTAAAGAATAATATTAATATTTATTTAGAGAAATTTGAACTAAAATTAAAAAAAAGAAAAACCTTAACGTGAGTTATAAAAGAAGCTTGTATTTAGATAATAAATCTTATGATTTTCAGACTGAAAATAATAAAGTTGAATAATATTTAGTAATGTAATGACACAAATAAAAAAATGATCAAGATCCTTTAAAATAGTGGAATGTAAATAAGAGTTAATTTTCAATCTTAGCTCAATTAGCATGAAAATATTTATCTATTTAAGTAACATCAGAGTCAAGCAAAAGGGTCTTTAATGATGCTGGATTGATAATATTTTCAAAAGGATAAGTATAAAAAAAGATTTATTTGAAGCTTTAATTTTTTTGAAAAGAAATAGCGATTTAGTTAAAGTAGGTGAAATGTTTGATAATAATGATATTATGTGATAATTTTATTATAATTTATTTCATTATATATATCTATATTAATGAATTAAGATTTAGATTTGTTTTGTCACTTCTTTATTTTCTTAATAGGAAATATATTCTTTATTCTTAAATATAGTATATTTTATATATTTACTTTTACCAAATTGTTTACTAAATAAAATTATTGTAATTGTTCTTATAAACAAAAAATAAATTTTTTATTATTTTTTATTATAATAGTTACTGTTGTTTCTTTATCGCTAGCTTCTTCCTAATATCTACTCTATTCTTTAATAATCTAATAATGATTTTCACATTTTTATATAACTTTATCTTTCTGAATTCTGTTCTAACAAAAAAAATGAGCATTTTTTTTCTCTTATTACACTTCTTAATAAAGTTTGCAAGTCTTAATATAGTTCTTATTTCTATTCTATGTCACTCAAGCTTTTCTTTGGTTAAATTGAGAAAATCAAAGTCATTAGCTTTTTTTTTATGAATAATTTCAAGTTATTATTATTTAGCTCTAAGTCTTATTTTTTGTAAAAATTCGATAAGGATAAAAAAAAAAATTAAAAATGATATTACTCAGAGTGTTAGAAATATTATCTGAGAATAATTCAGATTATTCTAAAATAATTATTCAGATAATTGTTATCCTATTTTGACAGGATATTCAGATCTTAAAATTTTTCAATAGGTTATTCTAAATTATTCATTGAATAATCTGATGAAAAACTCTAAAATTTTGAATTTCTATAGGCGGTAGAGAAAATTCATCTAATTATTTAGTAAATCAACTTATAGTTTATAAAAATCAAATAAAACCTTATGAATTTTTATACATATCAAAATTATATAGTATAAAAACTTAGTAGTGTATTATAAAATAAAAGGATAATATTATTTAACAATTAGCATTAAAAAATTTTTTTATAATACTACAATATACCACTCTTTTCAATTTTAGAATAAATGTATTTAAAATATCAAACAAAATAATTTTTATTTTATTTTTATTTTTATTTTAATCACATAATTTTATATTAATTATTTTATATTTAAATTATAGTTTAAACATTAAAAGAATGGAAACAATAGCTAAGTTACATACTTATTACATAACAAATGCAAAAACAAAAATAAATTATGTCAATTCAAATTTTATCGAAAAATAACTTTTTTAGGCAATTAATGAAAATTTAAATATTTACAGAATTTTCTGATGAAGAAATTGAAGAATAACAAGAAGAATTAAATAATAATGATATTGATGATAATAATAATAAAAATGATCTTAATAAAAATAAAAAGAAATATCAGAAATAAATAATAAAATAATTATGAAAAATTATTTTGATTTTAATAATCAAGAATTTCAAAGATTGTTAGAAGTAGATGTAAAAGTAATTATTAAAGAACCAGTAATTTTTGATCATGATTATAATAATTTTAATATTAATGCATTAATAAATACAAACTTTAATATATAGGTGATTGAACGTATTTATTATAAATATTTTAGATTAATAATCTAACTAAAATCAGTAATAATAAATATAATACAATATTAATATAATTTAATAAAAAAATTTTTTTTTATAAAATTTATTTTTAAACAATACTTAAAGGATTTAATATTTTAATTTATTTTTTATTATAAAAAATATTTATTTAATATTACTTATCTTTAAATAATCTAATATCAGTATTAAGTTTTATTAATTTAATAAAAATAATATAAGTAAATTTAAAGAATATATTTATTTTATAAAAATATTGAAAATTTCTTATATATATAAAATATAAAAGATATATTTAGCATTTAAGTTCAAAACTTAAGATTAGAATAGTATATATATGTAAAAAGGATATATAATGGAATTGACTGTATATATATATATCAATATCAATATAATATATTATAAATATAAATTTTAATATTATAAAAATATTAATATTTTATATTATAATTAAGTTTATAATATATAAATTTATTATTATATTATTATATTATAAGTTAATTATAATGATAAGTATATATAATAATCAAATTAAATAATTTTATAAATATTAAAATTAAAAATTATATAATTATTATACTTTTATTTAATTTTTTATATAATTTATCAGGGTTTAAAACTTCTTTTTTTTTCATTTAATAATCATACTATTTATATTACTTTCTATTTATAATTGTTTAATTTAGAATATATTTAATTATAATTATTACTATATTAAAACGTTTTAAATTATATATTTAAATAATTAAATGAAATATATTATTATAATTTTAATCTAAATTTTGATTTATATAATTCTAAAGGTTTAATTTATTTGCTAATAGCAATATTTTTAACTTAAAATCATATTTAGCATATAAAAGTAAAATTGGCCTTTCTATTAAAATGGTACAATACATCCGGTTCGTTCCGTTTGTATTACACAAATCCGACCAATCAAATTAAAAATTAAGGATATTGGAAAATAATAACATTATCGTTATTGTTTTGATGATTTCATTATTTCTTAAAGATCTTGGGGATTAATTATAATGCTGGTCAACGGATAATTTCAATTTTATATTAAGTAGCATGTGCGAATGACACATTTTGGGGTAATATTTACAAACATATGAAATTCTAATCCGATTATACCCAAATAAAGATTAATCGTAATGGAGCAAGAAGGAAATTGAAATGAATAGATAAAACCATTATAACAGTTTTAAAGCGAGTTTTTTTTTTTTATGTAATTCAATGATAATTCGTTTGGTTGGAGCAGAGAAAAAAAAAAATTATCGATCAAAGATTATCTCTGTATTGTTAAAATTCATGTTATGTAATTAATAAACAGTAACACAATACAAAAGAATCAAATTTACTTTGTTTTATTACTCATGTAAAATTACCCTGTTCTTTCCATAGAAAAGTTATTTATAATTGTGGATAAGATAGGAATAGTTTGATTGGATGATTGTCCAAAGATTTCCTTATTCCTTTTCAACTTGCCAAAAAAAAAACTACCATACAATACCTTAAAGACAATCGGTATTATTCTCAACATTTAATCGGTATCTGATAATGAACCCATATTTGAATAAAAATTGATTATATGAAAGAATCAATTGACTTTTTATAATAATAATTGATGTTTGTTGATAATTAGATTGAAATTATCTATAAAATCGTGAGAAATCAAATAATTTTTTTCGTTATCGGAATTATCTCAAACAAACTGCTTATATTCCCGATAAAGAAACCCAACATATTATTCCTTAACCGAAACATGTATGTATTTTGATCAATTACCAAGTGACCATTGTCTTTTTAGAGATATGAGTGCGTCACAGGATCTTCCTAATGTAGTATTTTGATTCTCACGGTACCATAATTATTATTTTTGCTACTTGTAGATTCTACTTAATATAAAAATAACCCCAATTTGTTGAACCGCCTTTTTTTTTTTTTTTCTTTTATTATTTGTTGAAGTTAGTTCAAAAATAATTTTTTAAAAAAATAACGCGTGTAATAGAACAACTTTATTATCCTTTATTCTTTATTTTAAAACACTTTCAGAATGCCTAGGACTAGGATGTCGAGATCAAAACCCTATAGAAAATCAAACCATTTTGTTAGGAAAAAGCCCGAATATAAGCTGATTCTTGAGAATACTGAACAAGTTTTTCGAAGCTATCCAAAAAATACTTGGGCTATACTCAGACCAGTGGGCAATAACATATTCATACCTTTTATATATCTCACCGATACTTTCAATTGTCTTGGAAAATTCCCGGATAGCACATCAAATCACCATGTAATGCATATAATCTATAAATGTATTTTGAGGCACTTTTTTAAAAATCAAGAATGATGTGATCGATTATTCATAATATATTTATTCTAATACCTTTGATATTTAGCAACTACCACTTGACACGCAAATATGTGATAAGCATTGCTACATAAGAGTTGTAAGCAATTAATGAAAATTTTATAAAGAATGATTGTTTGGTAGTTTCATTTAGTCTATTTGTTTATTTATTTATCTTTAATTTTAGGAGCATTTTACCGATAATGTTGGTAAATCGTCGTTAAACATCTTTCTTGAAGATATTAGGTATGATATCGCGTTTTTTTTTTTTGGTTTCCCGATCGGTATGATATTAACGTTTCCATATCGGTATCAATATATAGCAAACGGGGTACACAGGTCGACGGAATTTTGGTAAAACGTGACGTCAAGAATAGTCATCCTTATAAAGTTAAGCTAAATAACGGTTCGAAGATATCTTTTCCCGGTTCTCGAATTGAAGACGGTCTTTATACTTGTAAGTTTTATGATACTTAAGTATATTCGACTTGTTTTTCTTTTTTTTTTTTCACTAAATGCTCTTTGTTTAGATGAATTTGATATTGTCGATCTCGAATCTATAAGCACAAGCGTAAGTTTTTAATGTATACATTTATATCTTCTTTTTTTATTCAAGGTTTTTATAATGATTCGATAAAATTTTTCTTTTCCTTTACAATCTTAGAAATTTGATAGGAAGTATAAGCTTGGTAAATTTCTTGGAAGAGGACATTTTTCCAGCGTTTACATGACAAGATGTATTAAATATGATGGAAAAACGTACGCAGTCAAAATAATGGATAAAATAGTGAATAATGATAATTCTAGACAACGCAGGATGGTCGAATCCGAAATTCAAATATTAAATGGTCTGGCACATGTACGTATAAACGACCCTAGATATCAATTAATTATTAATGGAATGAATTAATAATTTTTTTATTTATTTTATAAAAGGAAAATTTGATCAAGATCTATGATTTTTTTGACGAACCCGACAAAATGTATCTTGTGATCGAATAGTAAGTATTACTTATATGGTTGATTCTTTCCTTATAATCGATTAATTAATCGTTGATTCCTTACAATTACGTTAAATTACAGTGTAGAGGATGGTGAATTCTTTGATTTCTTTAAAAATCGGATCCTGTCTGAAGTTGAAATTCGTATTATTTTTAAACAATTGTTTAGCGCGATCGAGGTAAATCGATTCGTTATTAAGTCTCTTTTGGAGGGTTTAAATATTGGATAAATAAGTAAATATATATGTGTGTAATTTTTTTTTAAAAAAATAGTATCTTCATGAACGAAGAATAGTGCATCGAGATTTAAAACCCGAAAATATTTTAATGCCCAGCAAAGAAGGGTTAAGGATTAAAGTATCAGATTTTGGTCTGTCAAAGTTGCTTAATGTTGATTTTTCCACCATGCAAACAAGGTGTGGAACCGTCTCTTATGGTAGTTATCTTTTTTTTTTCTTAATTCATAGGGATCATGTTTACAAATGAAATTAACGTTTTGATTGATTATTAACATTCCTAAAATAGTCGCTCCCGAAATTCTCGAATTGTGCAAAGATCAATCGTACACAAAAGAAGTCGACATGTGGAGCGCGGGTGTAATCTTTTATGCTTGCTTATGTGGACAATTACCTTTTACAAGTGAAAGCAATAGACCTAATAGTGTGGCGGATAAAATCAAAAGCGGAATATTTCCAAAGGATATTCCAAGATGGGAAAATGCCAGTGAATCAGCAAAAGATCTAGTATGCGGTCTGTTAAACAAATCACCTTTCCATAGATTATCGGCTAAGAAGGCATTAGTAAGGATTTTTTTCATTTAATATATTTTATATATTATGTCTCATATATGTATACTTATCAATTATTTTTTTTGCTACAAAAGAAACATCCCTTCATAACGGTAAGTTAGTTATATTTGTTAACCGAGAAACTTTATCGATATTAATAACAAAACTTTCTTATATATAATAGTGTGGAGGTATTCCAAAACAAGTGCCATATTCAAATCCTCCCGTTCAACATCAATTTGAAAGTTCGAATGGATCGTCGTCGTCTGATGACCTATACTATAGTTGTGTGGGACAATTTTCTCAATTGTCTACGATTACTGAGACTACTGGACGGTCTTACGTTTCGGAGTCCGAAACTATCCGTTCGTGTTCAAGCAACGATAATGAAATATCCTCCCCAAGTGAAGGAAGTTATCGAACGTGAAAATTTTTTTTTTTTTTTTTTATTGACCGATAGATAATTATTTTATTTTTGAATTTTTGGGGATTATGTAAATATTTTGAAAATATATTAGGGACGGAGGGAGTTGCTATACTTCTCAAAATAATTTTAATTAGTTCCATAAAAATGAGGGGTATGAAAGTTTAACAACAAAAAAAGTTGTTCAAAAAAATAAAATGTTTCCGATATATTTCAATTTGCTTTATGACAATAAAAATCAGTTCCAAATTTCATCCTTAATTTTTAATGATGCAAGACAATGAACTTCCAAAAATCATCGTTTCAATGTTTTAATGAATACTTTTGAAAAATAAATTTTTTGATCCGTAATATAAGGAATAATGTTCCGCCAAAGCGGTACTGCGGTAAGTGATATATGGTTACGAGCGAAATTTGAACTCTATAAGTTCCATAAGGTAAATTTTTTTTTTTAAAAAAAAAAGAGAAGGATAGAGAAGTTTATTCTTGTATTGTGAGCAAAAAAAAAAAAAAATTCCTTCTGCATCAAAAACGTTAAAAATGATCATCTACAATAAACCCAATTTTAATTTATAAATTCACGTTTATTTTTACTTTTTTATGCGCGCATCATATGTCAAAGAAAAATAAAAAAAAAAAATTTTTTTTTTTTTAATGTCAATAACATCATTCATGTCCGTTGAAGTTAAAGGTTTTATTAAATCTTTATCACAAAAGTTTTACAAAACGAAAAATGTTTATTACATACACTCGAATTCGAGAACATACATGAATCAACGTAACATTATCAAAACGGACGTTAACAGAGCGGAATTACAACAACAACAACAACAACTACAAGCGCAACAACAAAACAAGAAAGGCATTAACAAACTTACAAGGATACGAAAGGACATTGAAAAGGCGATAAACAAGGATGATAAGCGAACCATTAGACGATTATATTTTGAGAGCAGAAAGTTATACTGCATACATCATGACGAAATTAATTTAATGGGTGAGGGGAATAATATAATGAGTTCACTAGTTAAGGATGATAAAACTGATATAGCGATCTCATTATTAAAGTACATTGATAAAAATAAGATCATAATTGATCTAATTTACGTCTTTATTGAGTTATTGGAAGAGAATGAGAATGAAAAGATTCATCATAAGAATTTTAAGAGGTCACAAATGTTGTGGGGGTTGATAAAATTTTATCAAAATAGTTGCTTTGATGATGATGATTTATTAAAGATGTTGAAACTTTTTATAAAGAAGAGATCAAATTTAATCATCCCATTTTTACAAGGGATGTTATCGGCTGGGATTCTACCAACGGATGATTTTATTACCGTTATATTGAACGTTTATGATGATAGGGTGCTTAAAATTTATGAGTTACTCAAATCGAATGAAATTAAATTTAGCAATGACATGTATCAAAATTTATTGATATCACAACAAAGGAAACAAGGTCTTTTATATATAAACTTTTTTTATAGAGACATGTTGTCTTTAGACGAGAAAGGAAAACTTGATCAACGTGGAAGGGAAAGTTTACAATTAATTGAGAATGCTTTTAAGGAAAGAAAACCTGCCAACGCAATAAAATCTTTTTATGAAATTGGATCGGAGGATATTCAATCGCATCCAATCATTCTTTTTGAATTATTCAAAGGATTATTTGACGTGTGTCGTGAATGTAGTTTGAGATTCGAAAAATTAGATGAATCTAGTATCTTTTCGGTTTATAAATTTTTATTGCGAAAGCAGTTTAAAATTAATTCGGATGTAGGGTATTATTTGATGGTAGGGTTCCTTTGGAATAATCAATTGAATCACGCGGAACAAGTCTTGACAGATATGATAAATGAAAAAATCATCCCACCCGCTTATACTTTTATTCCATTGGTAAATTCGTATTTGAATAACGAGAAGGTAGATAAAGTGGAAAAAATCATGGGATTAATCAAATCGATGTATTATAAAGATTATATCTATCTTCTTAACCGCCTAATAGATCATTATAATAAAAAAGGTGATAAAGTTGGAATATCAAGATGGATGAAGGAACTTATCAACGCACCGATTAATGACGGAACGGGATACGTGAGTAGCACTGTGTTGTTGCGTTCTTATGGAGTGTTGGGCAAATTATCTGATGTTACAAACTTATGGGAGGAAATGAATAAACAATATTCTGGAGAAGAACTTTCTCCATCCATATCAGTTTTATTGGATCAAATTGGATACATTGGAAATATTTCCATGCTAAAAGATCATTGGGACATAATTTTAAAATAATCCTGACAGATATATATTAAATTTAAATCATTATAATTCTTACATTGAAGCTTTATGTCGATTTAAAGCTTTTGATGATGCTATTAAAGTATTTACAGAATTGGAATCAAATGGTTTTAAACCTGAAATAAAAACTATTCTTACTTTATTACAACCACTTTTAAATTGTAAAAAATTTAATGAAGCAGAAAATGTACTATCTTTTGTTAAAATGAAATGGCCTGATGTGCATGTGGAATTCGTTCGATTTATTAGTCCGGAGCGTAGCGAAGGACTATATAATTCTACGCAGTATGACTCCCCGCTTGACGTTTGAGTCGATCAGTGTGATTGCCGGAATAGTAACTTTCCCCACAAAATACCACCATTTTTGTAATTAGTGTAAAAAACTCCGGATTTATTACGAATCCGGATAAGATATCCATATATCTATTGATCCATGAATGTTTTTCGCTTGTTAATTTAACAACGAATCATTTTACAAATCTCAAAAAAAAAAAAAAATTAAAAAAAAATAAACTTAAACTCACCGTATTTATCCCAATAAACCTTTTTTTTTTAAATCCTAAAACATAAATTCTCGATTAATATTACATGTAACTAATACCAACGCTACTTATCAAAAAATCGATAAAAATGATTTTGATAAAATTATGCCTAGCTAAAAGTTTTGTAAGTTTATTATCGCACAAAAATCCTTCAACGACAACTCGAAAGTTTTTGTTAAGGAGAACTCGTTGTACACACAAATGTGCTTTAGTTATGCTAATGCTAAATCAATTCGGTAAAAAACAAAGCCAACTAACCTCACTTCACCGTTATCCATTGCTAAAATTTTAATTTTTTGTAAAAAAAAAAAAAAAAAAAAAAAAAAGTGATGGGGCATTTATAGCAAAATTTCACGTATCACGAAAAAATAATTTTTTTTTTTTGATAATCGATAATCTCGATAAAATCATATATACGTATGTATAATTTCCTTTATAATCATATGTTTTATTGATTCTTTTCCTGTAGAGTGCTGGTATGCTCGCAAATGGTTTTTATCAAATCAAGCACATTAACCGCGAAACCTCTTAAATCCTCATTGGAAATAAATTTGGAACAAGCACAAAACGACATGTACAATTTACCATGCAACGTGAGTGTAGTTACTTCAATACTGGTACCTCTTGATTGCTTGGCGGTAGAAGACAAAAATACATTATTCCAATCTGTAATAATATCTTCCTTTAAAATTTCAGGAACAATTTGATTACAATTTCCGAGATTAGACAATACGTAGGCTAAAGGAATGATGGTCTCCTCTTCTTTAATCATATTATCATTGCTTTTTATAGGTCCATTCATCAGAAATTTTAAATTATGAAAAATCAAACCTGATTTCATCGAGTGTTGTATGATATTGTTAGTGATTTTAATTCTGTTTACCAAATAATTTATATAATTAGATCTATGGAATTTCTCTTCAAATAAAAATTCGACTTTTGGATGTCTTATTAATATGGAAGAATTAAAAGCTCCGTTAATTTTAACAGAAATATTTAAAAATTGTCTTAAATCAACCGCCAACCCTCCCAGCACAGTGTTTCCTCCATTCTTTGCAGAGACGATCTCCGAAATACACGTTGACAATAACGATGTGACTGAAAATTTATGTCGTTTACAAAATTGAATTAAATATGATGTTTCCTGCCTCGTTAAAGTATGAAAGTACGTATTCGTTTTACTTTTCTCGGGTTGTAATGGAGGTTGAATTTGTCGAGATGAAGATGGAAGGTTACGTGGTCTCTTGTATAATAACCAACCGAATAATGTTATTACCTCTTTGAAAAAGATGAAATTTGAATAACAAGTTTGAAATTTGGGCAAAGTCAAGTTATTTACTTGACCTTCTTTTAATCCTTGTGTACTAACGATATTCTCGGATGAATTTAGTAGAATCTTTTCAAATTCTTTAATAAAATCACGGGTGACGGTAAATATATTTCTACCATCAAAGGCTGTGTGTAGAAAACAAAATACGAATCCAACCTCTGTTGTTGAGTTCTCCTTTGGGTCGTCGATGTTTTGAGAAGTTGGCATTAAAGTATCACGTGTAATCAAAATAAATCTACATAGATGTTGTTCGACTATAAAGTCATTTGTCATCTCTCGGGCACATACATTTTCTAAGGTGTTTGCAATCGTTTCATTTAAAGATGATATCTTTATCCAATTAAATGAAATTTCGTTTCGAGATGATGGTTTCTCGCAGAAACACCATTTACCATTCATTATTGTAATACATGATCTTAACATTGGATAATATTGTTGAATTTTATTTAAACCGAATTTAACTGATTGTGTTAATTGGGAATATGTAAAAGGACGCGAGAGAGTTAAAAGCGATGAAAGTGTTACATTGTTAGAATTTCCTTCGTAAATGTAGGACAATTCTTTTTTATTTAAAAAACGGAATTGTGGAGAGTCCATGTTTTTTTTTTCCTTGTATATATTTCAAAAGGAGCTAACAAAAAAAATGAATTTTTTTTTTTTTTTAAAAAATAAAGATGATAAAATTAAAGATAAAATTTATTTTATTTTTTTTAAGGAAAGATTATAAGCATTTATTTATATATTGGTTATGTTTACGTTTATGCAAAGGGGGACTTGATGCATGCATAATTCAGTAATTCAACTTTTAAACAACACAAAAAAAACTTTTAAAGTTAAATTTATGGATTTAACAATGAAGTTCAAAATAGCAAATTACTTATATAACAATTGTTGATAATGTGTTAACATCTGATAATTTCCCCACAGTATTTTTTTCCCCAAAACTTTCTTTTTTTTTTTTTTTTTTTTTTTTTTTTCTTTCTAATTGTATAAAAAAATGTATCGTATGGGGAAAAAAAGAATGATGATATGAAAAAATATAAAAAGGCATGAACAAAAATGGTTTCTCATATTATTTTGAAAATTAACAAACGCGAAGATCTATCCTTCCCAAAAGAATTTTGATTTCTAATCGAGATTTCCATTTTCTGGTGATGGTTCCAAATTTGGTCGTGATCTAAAGATTATATCATCTCCCATTCTTGATATCCGCAGCCCTGTCACGGATAGATAGATAGATATACGTCGTGAATGTATAACGGAAAATCATTCGCGTGAATTAATTATCTTCCAAATTTGGAATGACATCCACATAAAAAAGTTAAATTGTTTGTTGCGCACGACAATTTTAAGAACTGCGCACGGACGAGGTCGAAACGCGTGGTGATACCTAAGCATGGTTTTTTTGTTACGTTTCTCGGGAAAAAAACCCACAACTTGTTTGTACCTATTAAAAGTTTAGCGCAATTATAAAATGGTTTCATTATTTGAATCCCATCAATTTGGCGGGAAAGGATCTGATTGGTTATTTACAAATTAGTTTGCGGTTAATGGCGCCGTAGAAATGTTTTTTGCTAAATTTTACACGCAGTAATCACAAAAAATGTGGCACAAAAAATTGTATTATAAAGACATCATAATTCGTCAAGATTCCTTCATACCCCCAACAAAATTTTTTTTTTTTTCCAAACATGTCAGATTTGCCATCGGCGTCGACTTTGCCCGTCCCAACCGAGGCTCCCGATATATTTAAGTTGTTTCCAAAAATTCGAAAGTGGACTTTTCCAAAAATGACCCTCTCGACACCCCCTCAAAAATTACCCGAGTTAACATTGATAGGAACTTCCCGAGCAGCTGATCTCACATCATTTTACATTCCGGAATTAAATTGGCTCTTTGACGGTGGAACAAAAGTAACGAATCACCTTCCCTCTCACATATTCATCACACATACGCATACAGATCATTGTTTAGGGTTGTATAGGTATAATTCACGTAAAAGACCTCCCATCATTTACGCACCAATGGAATCTGTTGGATTGATTGAGAATTATATGAGATCCGCTCAAGAAATTACTGATCATTATGCATTGAGAAGGGGTCATTCATTTTCTTGTTTGGGTGTTAAGCAAGGTGATGAGATTTCACTGTCGCTAACTTCTTCCGGAAGGGTCGAGATTACTTCTCGTGAAGATGACGAAGAGGAGGAGGAAGACGTGAAGGTTGACATGTCAGTTCAAACCAAATCGATCGGTAAAAATACCGGTGATGGTGTAGGATACCAAGTTCACGTAACTCAAATGGATCATTCCATTCCCTGTGTAGGTTACGTAGTTTATTCAAAACGAAAACGACTCTCATCTGCTTACACGCACATGACAACCAAAGAAATTGCCAAATTCCGTCAAGAAAATCCTTCGTTAGAGATCATGGAACCCTACCTGGCTCCATTGTTTGCGTTTAACGGGGATACCACAATCAATGCGTTTTTTCCTAACCAGACCAATGATAAGTGGGCATTTAAAGAAGTTCCCGTCATAATTACCGAATGCAGCTTTTTGCTAGACGAGCATTTAGATCAAGCCAAAAAAACCAAGCACACCCATTGGAAAGATTTGAAAAAGGTTGTCAAGGAAAATCGAAATCAAATTTTCATTTTAATTCATTTTAGTTGTAGGTATAGCGATGAGAAAATTAAAAGATTTTTTGAAGAGGAGAAAATGAAAACCAGGGAGGAAACCGATGATTCTTATGCATTGGAAAATTTGGTCATTTGGGTTTAAAAAAGAAAAAAAAAAAAATTTAGGGATTTTTTATTCAATTATATTTTTGTGTGATCTTACATTTATTTAATTTATTTACTATGAAACCTTTGTTGGCTCACGAGGTTCATGTCATGTTTATGATTATCAATCAAAATAAGGGCGAGACCATAAACACAAGAAGGTTCTATTTTAACTCAGGTTCAGGTGGTGGCGTTTACTTTGATATTTCCATGAGACAGCCACTTTTATTTTTTGGTGATAATCACATAAACAGTTACTGTAAGTATTCGTTTGAAGTTTACTTAAGCGATGGATGTTGTGAAACCATCATCTTAGCTTATTTTGATAATATAAAAAAAGCCAAATTCGGATTTTCCCATATTTTTGACGAATCACGTTAGCATCTAGAAATAACAAATGGGACATAAGGGTGTACATACATGATGCAAGGATAATAATAATAATAAAAAAAAAGAGAGAAACTTGAAAACAAACTTGATTTTTTTCTTTTTATTTCTCTTTTTATATTATAGTACAAATATATCAGATAAAAAACCATGGATTTTCTTTCTGAACAGTTTTCACGAGGTGTGCTTTGTATAAAAAAGGAAATTTTCAATACGCGTAAAAGGGTTCAAATGTTGAAAGATGCTGATACTTGATTCAAATCTCAATTGTCAACCATCATCAAAAGGGTTTAGGGAAAGACGCGTTTTAATTCTCTTATAATTAGGGAAATTTTTCATAATTTTAGAGTGATTCCTCCAAAATTCTAGGCACTATGAATCTTGTGACACATTTTAAAACATAAATTTTATGGTCAAAAAAAAAAATCGTTCGATAATTATGTCCATTTTCGTGGAAATGAATAAGATGGCATCAAAATGGTGCAATATAGACTTAAGATAAGCAAAATCAATCACTTAGGCCAAATTGGTGTGATTTTTGTGAAACAAATAAATTTTATATATCGAATAATTTCTAATACGTTAAAATTATGACGCTCTTTTTTTTTTTTTTATATCACAACTGGATCAACCATTTGTTTATTATGGTTTTTTTTAGTAGCTATTCGTTATTTTTTTTTTTTTTTTTTTTTTTAGAGCACACACACACAGATATATATATATAATAATATTTAATTTATTATTGTTGTTATTATTGTTATATAAATATATATTTTTTTTTATACATACATACATACATACATACATTAATATTTATATATATAGCATCAAAAAAAAAAATAACCATGCAAGATAATAGTCAAGAAACAATTCCAGTACAAAATTTTGCTGACCTTCAAATAGAGGACTCACTCGATAATAAACCTGAATCTAGAGGAACCGGTCGGCTACTATCTATTAGTAACAACCCTATTGATAATAGCCTTATTGATAATACAGATTTTGATAATCATATTCAGCCTGAAAATTATTGCTATCGTCACCGTCCTGATCTCATGAGAGAAAGAATGGCAGAAGAACTTACCCTTAACGATTTGCAAAAGGTATGCCAAGATCTTTACAGGACAATTACGTAATTGTTTCCGTATGTATGACTTAATAAATAAAATTCACTCGTATGCTTTAAATTTAAATAGCAAATCGAAAAATTATCACAATCGGAACGGGAGACGGTCACGCATATATGGTCATTGTTTTCCGCCGCACCTCCACAGAATCGTTGTCTGATTTTACAGGGAATATTAATCCAGTGCTGTCTTCCTCAATTATCGTTCCTCTCAGATAACCTGAAAGATTTGATTCGGATCGATTTCATTGCTGCTCTTCCAAGAGAATTATCCTTTAAAATCCTTTCATACCTGGACGCAATCTCATTATGTTACGCCGCTCAAGTGTCCAAGTCATGGAAGTACATAGCCGACGATAATGTGGTGTGGCATAAGTTATGCGAACAGCACATAGATAGGAAATGTTACAAATGTGGTTGGGGTTTACCGCTCTTGGAACAGAAAAGAAGGTGTAAAAACAACAAACGACCCGTATCAAATAATACCCTAACATCATATTCCACTGTCGCGACATGTAGTACGGCCATTGATATTCAACGTCAATCAATGAGACATTTACAAACCTCTTCACCTTCATCGTCAAGTATACCGTCTTATATGAGAGAGATAAAGCGTGCTCGTATATCGAATGATAGATCATCAGCTTTATACCCGGATATTTCAAAACCTGAACCTCGACAGACTCGTCCGTGGAAGGATGTTTATCGTGAGCGTCTCCTCGTGGAACGTAATTGGCGTAAAGGTCGATATAACGTTAGAGTGTTAAAAGGTCACACTGATGGCATATTATGCCTACAGTTTGACGATGTTAACAATCGTCTCATTAGTGGATCTTTGGATAATACCGTTTGCGTGTGGAACCTTGAGACCGGGGAAATCATTCGTGTCATGAAGGAACATACACGGTGTGTAAGAGCATTACAATTTGATGATACGAAGCTGATTACGGGTTCCATGGATGGGACCGTGAAGATATGGAATTATTATACCGGACAATGCCTTCGAACCTTCCCGCATACAAGTGGGATCGTTTCACTTCACTTTGACGATCTTTTCCTTGCCAGTGGTTCGACGGATCACATAATCAAAGTTTGGAACTTCGCATCATGTGAATGTTTCGTCTTTAAAGGACATACGGATTGCGTTAATCGTGTGGTGATCTATAAGCAATCACAGTTATTATCATGCTCGGACGATCTAACGATACGTATATGGGATTTGAAGACAAAGTCCTGTACCAGGGTATTTGATCAAAATACACACGTTGCTTCGATTCAATGTATCCAACCCGCTTTACGGTGTAATGCCACCCCTTTCAACGAATTACTTGGAGAAAAGAAACAACGTAAAGATTCGGACAAAGTTGACGAACCTGTGATCGTTTCGGGTTCATTAGATAGTACAATTAAGATGTGGTCACTTGAGACAGGACAATGTATACGTACATTATTTGGTCACGTTGAAGGTGTGTGGTCTCTGGCGGTTGATAAGCTCAGGGTGGTTAGCGGAGCTCATGATAAGACTGTAAAGATTTGGGATCAGGATTCCGGAGAATGTATGCACACATTATTCGGTCATACGGGTGCGGTTAATTGTGTTGCGTTAAGTGATACAAAGATTATTTCGGGAAGTGAAGATAGTGAAATCAGAATCTGGGACTTTAAAAATTAAAAAAAAAAAAAAGTTCCTTTCTTTTAAAAAAGTCATTCGAATCTTTTGTAATTTTTTTTTCTCTTTTTGTATATTGTTTTTGTTACTAGATTATTTAAAAAAAAACCTCGGGAGAATCTTCATAAATGTTTATTTTTTCTTTATTCTCTTAGAATAATTATGATTACATTTTTTCTTTTTTTTTTTTTTTTTTTCCTTTTTTTTTAAAAAAAGAATTTTTTAACATTTATAATTAATAAAGTTTGTAATTACGTGATTGTACAATCGAATCTCTGTTTCTTTTTTTATCATTTGGAGTTATAAATAAATAAATTACATTCAGGATTCCGTTATTTATCGCATCCACACAATTTCCAAATCCTATTTGTCACCTGATGTCGCGCCTTGGGTTTGTAGGTTAAGGAGGGTTGATTATTAATTTGAAGGGAGTATTTTCTAAACACACGCAAAAAAATGTAATCCTCGCTTCGTCTGACGCGCGAAAGGAACATCATAACGCGTGAAAATGATTTTAACGAATGAGTTTCGGACCTTTAATAATCAAAGAAACCTTTAAACGGATGCTCGATTTTGATTGGTTGGCTGAAAGGAAAATTTTTCAACAAAAACGAGCGGTAATCACGTGACATCAAAAAGGGGTGAGCAAAGCGCTCTTTACAAAAAATTATTCACTTTATACAATCGTTAACCGTGAAAACAGACGAGATCTAAACTTATTCCTACTTGACTTTGACGAGAGTGAAAATAAAAATCCGGAAATCCATTTAAAAGATTGAACAACTTCAAGTAAAACAGCAAGGAAGAATAAAAAAAAAAACCATTGCCTCAGAATGTCACAACAGAACAATCAACCAAACCTACAAACACCAAACTTGCCAACAGTAGTTGTACAGCAATCGCAACAAATCGTTTCAAATAGTTCAACAACAACACTTGATCAGTACTCGAATTATTCTCAGAATACTCAACAGGAACAACAACCTTCACAAAATAAGCAACTTCAGATGAGAACGCACCAGCAATATTCGCAGCAAAGACCGCAATTGCAACAGACACCACAAGGCTCACCACTACCAATGAATATGCAAATTAACCCAATACCACAGCAACCGCCGCAGAATCAATCTGCACAGCCTTCTATACAACAACAACAACAGCAACAACAACAGCAGCAACAAACTTTAATACAGCAACAGCAAACCATACAACCTTCTCCACAGCAACAACACCGATCGCAGTCTGTACAACAAGCAAATACGGATGCTATAGGAGCAGGACGAGGGGGGACATCAATTAGAGGGGGTACTAAAAAGAAAGGTACAAATACCGCAAGAAAACCTAGCACTGGAGGTGGGCGTGCGAAACTACCATCTTTAGAAAAAAGTAATCCTGATGTGTTGCCTCAAGCTTTAAATAAAATGGCCACAGATTTCTTTAGTCAAGCTCAGCAATTGGGATTAAACACTGAAGCAGGTTCGGCAATGTATAAAAAATATGAGGACGCTATGCGCGCAATACGTCAACATCAAGTTAACAATAATCAATCTACAAGTTACGGTATATCGGCTTCACCAGACCAACCTTCAACTTCTATGTCTTCTCCACATTCAATACCTCGTTCTATTGCTTCTACCACCGCAATATCATCGATGAATTCACAACATCAACAATCTATACAGCAGCAGAATCTGCAGCAACAGCAGCAACTCTTTACATGGACCAAGATGATTCCGCCAGAGTATCAAAGCATCCACACTCCACAGCAATTAATAAATGAAATTAATATTGTTCAAGAGGCTTTGTCACAGCCCAACATAGTGCCTAGTGTCAAACAAGATTACGAGAATAGACACCACTTTTTAAGAGCTATTGCATCGGTAAGATTTCCGGTACAGCCAGGAGCAAGCGGCCTGGGTGCGGTTCCTCATATGCCACCACAATCTCCAAGAGGATTAATGGGTCCTCAAGTAGCCAGATCTCCGATGCAAGTAAATGCACCCTTACCAAGGGCGACAATGAATACGTTAGGTCAAAATCGGGGCGTGGGATCTCCAGCAGGTAAACTTTTTTTTTTTTTTATTCTTAATTTTAAAACATGACCATTTCAATAATATTAACCTTAATTTCTATCCCCCACAAAAGGCAATGATTTTAATAGGATACCTACTACGACACAACAAATACCATCTTCATCACCCATCCTTCAACCTACAAATATGACCTCTAGCCAATCACAAGATGGTTCGATGATGTCAACGAACATGCAACATCAACTTGGACAGATGTCATCATCGTTACAACAGGTTCCTCAATCACCTATTACACAATCACAATCTCCACAAGTGATGGTGTTACCACAATCTCCACGAACACAACAACTGCATCTACAGCAGTTGCATCCTCTTTCACCGAGGCAGCAGCATTCATCTCAGCCTCTACAATCTGTTACAAATGAGGATTTGATGGAGATTGACTCGGATACAAGATCATCGACTTTAGCGCAAAAGACTGCGGAAAGTCTGGCAGCAAGCGCGGCAGCAGCTGCAGCAGCTGCAGTTCCTCGACAGGTCCCTCCGATAGCTCCGGCCATTAATACGGGCGTTCTTCAATCGTCGCTTAACAAAATTCATCCAGGTCATAACGGTAAAACTCTTGCATCCATTTATGGCAGCAATGCTATCTACCCCGAAACATCCACATCAAATGTGGTGGATGTTGACATGGAAGATGCAGGTGCTCAACATCTCTTACCGAAACGAAAAGTCCAGCAATTAGTTGATCAAATAGATCCAAAAGAGAGATTGGAGCCGGAAGTTGAAGAAGTAAATTAATTTGTCTAAATCCTTTATAATAAAATTTAATGTAATGTAATGAGTTTAACTAATTATAACCTTATTAATAGATACTCCTCGAAATTGCAGACGAATTTATTTCATCGGTGGCTTCATTTGCATGTTTGCTAGCCAAACATCGCAAATCAGAAACATTAGAAGTGAAGGATCTTCAGCTTCACCTAGGTACGTAGTGAATATTGATGATTCACTCTGGCTGGTAAGATTTTTGATTTCAAACTCATTTTTTATTTTATTTTTATTTTTATATAGAGCGAAACTGGAATATTCGTATTCCAGGTTTTGCGTCCGATGAAATCAGATCAGTCAGAAAGCCAGTCGTTTCCGTCGGGCATCAACAAAAGATTGCGGCTGTGATGCAAGCAAAGGCCAATAAGGCCATGACGGCTGCTACAGGTCCATCCAACTAAATAGACTAGTGTAATTGGCTAGTGTTCGCTTATATTAATTTAAAATTATGAGCAATTAAAAAAGAATTATTATTATTTTTATTAATGTAATGTTGGAAGGATAAAAAAAAAAAAAAAGTTATAGTGATGAAAGTTTGCTAATAAAAATCGCGAGAAAAAAAAAAAAAGAAGGGAATTTTTTTTCTTCTCTTTACGCTCCTTATGTAAGGCAAGAAACTAGTGTAATTTTTTATGTCAAATATTATTTCTAACATAATTAGTATGTAATAGTAAAATTTGAATTTGTAAAGACGCTTTATTTAGTATATTGTGTAAATATACATAAATTTGTTTTATTATGTTGATATAATTTAGTTATAAAGAAGAGTTAATTTCAATGTATCAACGTAATGATAACATAATACGATTATTAAAACGCGTTTCATGCCAGTGTAGTTGATTCAATATACCCACAATTGCATGACGAAACTTTTCATTGATAAAGAAATGTTTCGCTCAAAGACGGGGGAAATCTGACATAATATCCTTTTGAGATATATTTTTTAAAAATTACAAAATATTTAAAATAGAAATAAAGCTAGTTAATAAAGAAAACACTATTAGAGGAGTACCGAAGAATCCCCAAATGTTCCAAAAACTAATTAATAAGCCCATTACACATATTATACTCAGAATAGTGGCTATAGGAATAAATTTTTTCAAAGTATCATCAACATCCCATAAACCATAATTTGGTGGTGGGACATCTTTGGTGAACGGTATATAATATTGTAAATATACAAAAATCGTTATGATATTTAATAGTGCGAATAATGATAGGTAAAAGATCGTTCTAATGCAATAAAGGAGGGAAATGATTCGTAAAAACTTCTTTCACGAGGAACATGTAAAAGTTGGAAGAAACTTACCTCGTCCAACTATTTTCCAACACTTGTTGGATTCCTTGTAATAACTCAAAATACCAAGAAATGACAAAAGCTATGCTTGTCCATTTTATTGCACCGATTATTCTTGAAATAATTGAAGACCTTTGTCCTTTTATGCGCCGTTGTTGAGAATAGCTATCATCATTATCAAGTAATTGTTCTTGTACTTCAGTTGTCCTGGCGGCGCGTCGACGAGTACTTGGTCGTTCGTCATTATCGCCCATCTTAAAGAGTGATCTTTTTTTTTTATTAAAAAAAAAAAAAAAAATTAAGGGACTAACATACGTCGCATTTTCAAGATCAAAATTACTGCGGATTCAGAAAACAGGATTAAAAAAGAGTATTATTTTATTAAAAAAAAAAAAAAAAAAAATTTTTGAATTGTATACAAATAGTGACTTTCTATTTAATTAAATAATGGTCATCCAGAATAAAAAGGTAATCACAAAATTCATATATTTTTTTTAAAGTAAAAAAATTTTTTTTAAAATATCTCCCTGAATATTCTTCACTAATAGATTTCTAAGCCTTTGCTTTAACAAACCGGGCTTTCTCTTCGAATGACCTTTTATACATAAGCTTAACTTTTGAGGCTTTATAGGGCGTAAGCTTTGGTTGTGATGGTGGTGGTGCTGGTAAAGCATTGACAGCGGTCAAGGTGGTGGCAAAGGCAAAAATTACCAACGCGATAAGGGTTAAGAATTTCATTTTTTTTTTTTTTTACTTTTTTTTAAAAAAGAAAAAAATGAGTATAAATATGGAATTTGAACTTTTTGATGTGAGATGATTGGAAAAAAAATTTTTTTCACTTTTCCTTTAGTTTAAAAAATAAAAAATAAAGAATATTTTGGACTTTATAAGCTAAATAGAAAAGAGAAAAGGAAAATATTTGGATCTTTTCACTCCATTAAATACATTAAATTCGTAATGTCGTACGCCTTCTTTGCTCTTTGAATGGTCTCGGCACGACACAAAGGTAAGACAAGGTTTACTTACCCGGTGATAATCCGGCCGCCGTGCTGTTACACGACCAAAATATTATTAAGATGATAAAAAAAGCGTCTTTCAAATTTTTCAAAAAAAAGCCAATATGTAGTAATATTGTGATGATCGTGACCGATCAATTAATGCCCTTCAGAATTATTTCCCTCTCCCCACTTTTCTTTTTTTTTTTTCATCTTCAATTCTTCAAATATGATGGATGAAAGTACAAATGATATCGAACCTCAAGAGGTTTGTCTTTCGTTCACAGGTAAAATATTTTTTCTTCACTCTTCACTTTAACAAACACGTTCGCATTTTAATGAAACTCGCACCTTTTTTTTTTCTTTTTTTTTTTTTTTTTTATTAAAAAAAAAAGGCGGAAAGGATTCCACGTTAACGTTACACTTAATATCCGAGCAAACGTCAAAATATAAGATAAAATCTTTGGTGACATTCACTCCTCCTCATACGACAAAACCATTCTTGGCACATCCACAACATCTGATCGCACTTCAAGCGAATGCATTATCATTGCCTCATACATTCTTACCAATAAGCCCACCATACTTGGAATCGTATCGTTCTTTGATCACGTCCCAGAAAGTACCCTACTTGGCAACGGGTGATATATTGGACGTATGTAATCAATTTATGGATCGGGTGGTGGAAAACACCGACGTTAAATTACTTCGACCGTTATGGGAAAGAGAACGAAATGAATTGATGGAACTGATCTTTACTCAAAGTAATTTTGAGATAATAATCTCTTGTGTGAACTTGGAAAAAATTCATGAAAAAGTGGCTAGAAAGATGGTCGGTAAGATATTAACCAGAGAGTTATATGAAGAGATTATTTTAAAACAAGACAACGTTGATGGATGCGGTGAAATGGGTGAATATCATAGTATGGTTTTAAACGCTCCTTTGTTTAAGAAGAAAATTGTCATAAAAAAGGCTGAACAAAAATTATCTGATGACGAAAAATTTTTATACTATTTGATCGATGAATGTGAATCGATCGACAAAGTGAATTGATCGACAAAGTGAATTTTTGATGGGAGTGGCTTAGCTTTTTGATCGGCATATCGGCATGTGACTTGTACAAAAAAAAGAATTTAATAAATAAAACACAATTTTTTCACTTCAAAAACTTATCATCCTTGTTTAAAAAATGTCATACTATTTTGCTATAGTAGGAACTAAAGACAATCCCATTTATGAAATAGAATTTGGTTCATCTGGGACAAGGTCTGCTAGTCTTGACCAAAATGCAAAGGTGATACTCTCCCTTACATCATATAATCGAGAAATATCATCTTCCTTTGAGCTCATTCATTGGTTTTTTTTTTTTAAATCCACTTAGTAGAAAGATGAACATCGTCATTTAAATCAATTTATCATTCATTCCGCTTTGGACCTTGTAGAGGAATTACAATGGACAACCAATACCATGTATGACAATTATTATTTATAAATTTTCATATCTCAAATTTTAAAAAATTCATTTGTTTATTTTTCAGGTATCTTAAAACTGTAGATAAATTCAACGAATGGCACGTTTCTGCTTTCATTTCAGCTGGCAGTATCCTTTTAATAATAATTATTCTTTTTTTTTTTAAAAAAAAAAATTAACTTCCTGAATAAAATTTATCATTTTAAAGATATCAAGTTTTTGTTATTACATGAGACTAAAAATGAGGATAGTATTAGAAATTTCTTTAATGAATGTTATGAAACATATATAAAGGTATTTAATAAGTGTTAAAAACTCTTTTCAAATTGAAATCAATTCATTAATCTATATAATTTTTTTTTTTTTTTTTATAGATATTAATGAATCCATTCTATGAAGTTAATTTTCCTATTAATTCAATCGCTTTTGATACTAAAGTTCGTTCTTCTGCTAGAAAATATTTGTGAATCCATCAAGTTGATTTAATAAGTTAATAATAATAATATTTAATATTTTTCAAATATAAGCTTTTCTATATTTATTTTCTTTTAAATACAATTCAAGAATTAAAAGAATTAATAAAATAATGTGAAGAAAATGAAAATTTCTACTTGTCTCAAACATAAATAACACAAATGAATGAGGACTAAAACAATGCCTTAGAGTGCTAAAGTAAAATACATGAAAATTTCCTCAATTATTATGATGTAATTGAAGATTTTTTTTTTTTTTTTTTTTATAGAAATAGATTATTCAAAATTTGGATCGCCACTTGTCCAATTTCTAAAACTTTTTTAAAGTACTATCTTTACTACTTTAAAGATCATCGTAAGCTATTATTTTACGTTTATGCCCTTGTGCTCTTGGATCTAATGGTAGTTGTGAAGGCGGAATGGAGACTAAAAATACGAAAAATAAATTTGTTAATCTTTTGAAATAATATTCTCCTTAAATATGAAATATAACTATTTAACCTGATCTATTAACAGTTGTAGTATAATCAGATGGATCATTCACATATGAAGTTTTTGGAAACGAATATTGAATTTCGTATGTAATTGGCTTAATATCATTCTGCTTAGCAACTGCACCATCTATAAAAAATTTATCAGCTAATTTATATGATATTTAATCTGTTCGTCCCATGATATTTCATTTCTTTGCAAACCTGCATCACTCCAAGGAACATTTCCAAATCCATTTGCATTTCTTTCCGGTCTTTTAGCCCGATTTACTAGAAATCCACATCATAATTTAACTTTGATCGTGTTATGATTATTTCCTACGAAAGAATTATTAACTTTTATTTATAATACCTTGTATACAACCTGAACCTAATAATGTTCCATTCATTTTACGACGGGCCTCGGTAGCAGTTTCTTCGGAATCGAAATCAATGAACGCGATACTATTTACGAAAAAATAATTAATCATTAATATATTATCTTTCTCCTAATATCTATCTACCTAGTACAAGTTAAATTTGGCATCTACCCTCTTTCAGGAATCATGTCAATCTTTTCTATATCACCGAATCGTTCAAAAGCCATGTGTAAAGTACGTTCGGTAACATCTTTAAGCTCACCAACATAAATTTTTTTGGTGTAAAATTCAGTGTCTATATATTTACTTGCTGCTTGATATGGCTGAATTATTGAAAAAACAAAAAGAATGATCTGGTTAATAAACTTTATTAATTCGATGGGAGAGGGAACAAAACACGCACATCTTCAAAACTATTATATGACCATCTCCTCCCTTCCGGTTCATCGTTCCTGTCCAAAGATCGGCGACGTCTACCGCTGCCACTTCGTTTCCGCTCAATTTCTTCTTCACTATCCGAAGAACGACGTGACCAAGTCCTAGCACGCTTTCGATCTCTGAACCTATCATCATCGTAACGATCATAATCTTCCCGATCACTATCAGAGTGTCTATGATAGCTCGATCTACTCGGAACATATCGATCATAATGAAGCTGACGACCGTGATCATTTCTGCTTCTATCTCTTCGATGTTCACGATCTCTCTGTTGGCTTTTATGGGCACGTCGAAGACCATCTAAAATAAGTAAAAAAAAAAAAAAAAAAATTTTTGATGAGTTTAAATTAAAAATCAATATTCGCCCGATCGTAGCCAGAATTCATCTGACATTTTTTCTTGGATGATAGTGACTTGAGCGAGATTCATAATGATCTTCAGAAGAACGAATGCTACTACTACTATGTCTCCGTGATTCAGATTTATAACGATCATGATCACTGTGATCACTATAATCAAAATCATCATCACGTTGCCTGCTATCGCGTCTCAACATGCGACCAAACTCGTCTACTTCAACCTTTTCACTGTAAAATTTACACAATGGTTAATAAAAATTGATTTTTTTATCTAAAAAGGTGATTTGAGCAAGTTTTTTTTTTTTTAAAAAAAAAAAAACTAACTTATCACTTTCTTCGGTTATTTTCCTAATACTTTTAGAGCCAGAACTGTTATCTTGTTTACTACCTTTATTCGTAGCGGAAGTGGTGGGTTTTTCTTCCTTATCAGTTTTGTAGGGCTGTGAACCGTTTCCCTCGGCCTAAAAAAGTAATGCAAAAGCGTGTAAGGAAAACTAAGATACGGGACACCTAATAAATGGAATAAACTAATAATACATGACGAAACAAGACATACGACCACCATTTTTTGATATTTACTATGCTCTTAAGAGAGTTGTGGGGGGTTAAGGTGGGCGTTAATGCTTCAAATAAAGTTTAATTTTTTTTTTTTCCCTTAAAAAAAAAAAAAAAAAAAAAATCACCCGTTTCACGTTTCACAAGAAAAAAATGTATGCTAGAACAAAGACTAGAACTAAGAATAGGCTAGGACTGCTAGAACTGCTAAAAACTTACCGTAGGATGGATCAGTCCGTCACGTGGTCAACTAATATTGACTCGAGTTACGAGACTTTGTTTAGCGCTCATCCACAATAAAAAGATTTGACTCAATGTTTGAGCTCAATGGGAACATTGCCATTAGGACTAATTAGCGACCTATATCTTTAATTTATTTAAATAAAAGTTGATTAAAAGTCATAAAATTAGATAAGAACACGTGATTATGTAAATAACTGTTATAAAGCATAATCAACGATTCATTGTAATATAACTCAAAAGTATGTTTTTTCTTTAAATCTATTGGATTTATGTTAAAAGTGTTGATATCGTTTATTTCGTTTATTTAATGTTTCTTTAGTTTACTGAAAAAAAATTTAATTTTCTTTTTGTAATGCTACTACTAAATTTAGTTCAAAATCGATCATTCACCCGATTTAGCTAGTATTTATCCAACAATTTTTCTTGATAGTAACTTGAGCGAAATTCATAGTGATCAAAAGAACGAATGCTATTACTAATATTTCTTCGATTCAGATTTATAACGATATTGATCGCCATAATCATCATCTCGTTGTTTGTTATCGTGTCTCAACATGTGATTAAATTCTGTCTACTTCAACCTTTTCACTGTTAAATTTACACAGTTAATTATATCTAAAAGGGTGATTTGAGCAAGTTTAAAAAAACTAACTTATCATTTTCTTCGGTTATCTGTTTTACTACTTTTATTCGTTGCAAAAGTGGTGGTGTGTTTTTCTTTTATTTCAGTTTGTAGCCGTTTCCTCGGAATAAGAAGTAATGCAAAATCGTGCAAGGGAAACTAGATAAGGGAACACCTATTAATGGAATAAAATTAATAAGAATGACATACGACAACAATTTTGAGCGGTGTGGGCGTTATCAAATAAGGTTAAATAATTAATTAATTTTTTCCTTAAAAAAAAAATCACCCGTTTCACGAGAAAAAATTATCGAACCGGATCAGTCCGTCACGTGGTTAATCATCAGTAGCAATGAAAGTATTGGTAATGCATTTTTAATTTTGAACTTTAACAATCAAACATGGTGGAGAATCAAAATAGAAATAGAACCATTCTATGATTTGGTTGTTATTAAATTTTAGTAAAAAAAATTGACCATAACGCTTGTTTAAAATCTATAAAATATTTTAGATTTTCTGTTAAATTTACCTCCTGATTTATTTCACGCTTCTATAATCTTTACCTCAAGATATTGAAAATTTTTTTTTTTTCAATTTGTAAATAAAATACTATACTACTATTAAATTATTAAATAAGATTGAGTGATCTTAAAGATCGCCTTTCACATAAAGATCGGATCATTAACATCCCTATATGGAACAATGTTGCACGTGTTTGACTTTTTTTGCCTTTATTCAAACAACGTTAAACACGTATTTTAAACGTATTTTGACGTAATTAACCTGCAATAAGGCTATCAAGAGTTAATGTAGGTCTTGAGAATTGATATAAATATCACTGACATCATTAATAGTTTATTTTCTTAAAAAAAAAAATTTTTTTTCCCTCTTGATAAAACAATAAAACCTAATTTTCAAAGTATGACTCTTTACTACTCTTTGGTTTTCCTTTTATTAGTCGCCGAGGTAAATGTTTTCTTACAGCTTTACAAGTTTAGGCTTTCTTTATCTTCATTCCAAACTAACTGCACTTTTTTCATGTCTAAAAGTCGGCAGCATTCGTAGTTTTGATTGTAAGTGTTAGGCTGATAAACGATTTGTTTTCATGAGAAAAGGTACTGACGTAAATTTATTTTAACAAGTTACCTTTCCCACACGCGTGGAGACGCGGTGTTTTACGTTGGGTGTCAAGGTCAACGTTGGTAAGGTATTTCTCGCGTATATTCTATAATACTTTCCGAAATTACGTATTAAAGATATGTTTTTATTTTTATTAGGTTGCCAAGTCTCAAGTTGCATTAAAATTCGCTTTCATGTAAGTTGATGAGAAGTTGCAAAGTCTAGTTGACTTGACATTACTTTTTTGATCCATTTGATCTGTTAATCTTGATTTGCATTATTTTCGATAGTTTTGTTTTGATCTTATTTTTAGGTAGGTGTGCCACGGGAGGAAGAAGTTCATTTGTTGTGTGATGAAAATAATTGATCGTTTGAACTTAAACTTATATAAAATAATTATATTATGGTATTTAGATGCCACCAATCGTACATATTCTGTCCAACAAGATAAAAACGAACCACTTGACGCGAGAACAGAGGCTGCACATCATGCTAAGAAATTCTATAATCAACGCAACATGTAAGCAGACCTTATCTTTGAAAAGTTAAAGGTTTATTAATTCTTATATTAATCATCATATGTTTTGCATTTATAGGTATTTGACAGGATTTACGCTCTTCTTGTCGTTGTAAGTATTATTATCATGAAATGTTTTCGATGCAATAATTAATTATTATACTAATGCTAAAAAAAAAAAAAAAGGATTCTTAATAGAACATATGTGTTAGTGGTAGAACTATTGGCGAGCGAAGATAATCTTGAGGCCTTAAAGAGACAGGTTAGGCTAAAATAAGGATGTAAAAGTGAATTAAGAGGTCGTCCGTTGATATTTATATTATTACATCTTATAGGCTACCAACCATTCAAAAGAATATTTACGTGCAACGGATTCCGAGACACAGCTGAAGAGTGAAATCGAAAAGCTTAATAAAGAATTGGATGAAGAAAAGAAGAAAACTTTAGACTTTGAAACATTAAAGCAGCAAGCGTCCAACCAAGGCGATGAATATAATAGATTGGCTGATAGATATAATGCACTTGAGAAACAATTGCAAAGTGGTGATGATGATAAAAAATCCAATTAAATTAAATATTCGTTTTGAAGAGTCATTGTAGAGTTATTGTTATGAAGTGGATTTTTTTGGTAACTTCCCAAATGAAAAAAAAAGGTCCGCATATTGCTATTTACTAGGTAGTCACATTATTGAAATATCACATTTGTATCCAACTCAAATCAGTTGAAATATTAATATCAATCATATATATATGGACTTTTGAATTATTTTTAATGATTATTTGTTTTCAACTAATTATTTTGAGTTATTACATACATTTATAAGTTATTTAATTATTGTTCATAACTACGACATAAACTATTATTATTAAACAAATCACAACCATCAACACAATCATAATCGATTCCTTCGTGATATGATAAATGATCTTTCCAACAGACATGATATACTATCGATAAATATACAACAGCTACTAAGATTCACTTTGAGAAGCCATTTTTTTTTTCTCTCTTTTATCATTCGGCCTCAAGTCTGTTGATTCCAAATAAACGAACTTTATGTAATTGAGGTAATTTCGCTATCACCACCACAATTAACAAAATGAAATTCACCAAGAATGTAATTCCATCATAATGAGTATAATGAGTGCTAAGTAGAAACCTTGAAAAAAAAATAATATATGTGAAAGTAAAAAAAAAAAAAAAAAGAGAGAGAGGAAATCATAAACGTTTATACATTCTTTAAAAGAAAAGAAAATGAAAAATGAAAAAGGTTAACTTGCTTACATACAGTCCAATTGGCACAGCTGTAAGATACTTTTTGGCGGGAGTAAATTGAGCTCCATTATCAATTTGTTCCCATAATGTTAATCCATCATAAGCTCCTGAATTAAAATCGAACGGAACCCCTTTTACCCAATGAAACAATAAAAAACTGCCCTAAACCCAAACGTTAAAAAAAATTGAAAAAAGAAAAAAAAAAAAGGTATTTGTTAAAGAAAGAGAAAAAAAAAAGTTGAAATTTTTCAATAGAAAACGATTATATTTACCAGCATATATGTTAGGTTGGTAAATGTCCAACTGGCTTCAGAAGGAACACCCGGAATACTACCAAACAAAATCTTGATACATAAAATCAGAACGATATGAACTAACCAAGCACCTTTATTTTAAAGGAGAGGAAATAAAAAAAAAAAAAATAAGACAATTTCCATAAAAGACAAGAACCAAAAGGACTTGGAATTGAAATATATATATATATATATATATTTGTTTTACCCTTATCGTATACCCAATTAGAATTTAAGTTTGGTAAAGCAGATTGGTCTAAAGTATCATTATAAGAGGTTGGTTTTTCTGTAGTAATGAAACTTCTTGATCTATTTCTCGACATTTTGTTGTTTAATTTTTATTTTATAGAGGGGAATTTTTTTTTTTTTTATTAATTCAAGAAAAGAAAATAAAAAAAAAAAATTAAATGATAATGGTAAATGGGAATGGGAAAATAAACTAACAAACAAAAATGAAATAGAAAAGAGGTTATTTCGCTGTGGAACTTCTTTTGTTTCATGTTTCACAATCCGATTTTTTTTAATTATAATTTCCCGATCGGTGGAAATCCGGATAAATTTAGATGTTTGTTAACGTGATAGTGTAACGCAGTGAATGATTCTAAATATTTTATTATGACATAGGAATATGTGTTCAAAAATTGTCCAATCGACCAAAACACTAGTGTAACATAAAATAAAAATTCTAAATGGCAATTACAAATTTTCGTACACATTTTAATTCTTTTTTTTTTTAAAAAAAAAAAAGAAAAGAAAAAAAAAACTCATCGTCGTTTCATTTCCTAAGCGTTGAAGCGAGTCAATATGACTCTAAATATTAAACCTAATTAAAACTTTTAAATCAGCTGATTTCCTTAAATCAAACTTTACGAACATCCATTTCGAAATCTAAAATGTTTCGTTAGCCATAACTTTGGGAAAGGGCGTATCATCTTCATGATATCTTGATACTTGGAGAAATGAAGTACCGGGATTTTTAAAGATCATGTTAAAATTTAACAATTGATTAATAATATTGTTTTATTAAAGAAGATATTCTTTACGATTACGTTTAAATGATGATGTATTTTTTTTGAATATTTATATATTTGATGAAATTTTTGTAATAAAATAAATGCAAATGAATTTTTTTAATAAATATAACATTTTGAATCAACTTGAAATTATTTTAAGAATAAAATTAAACAAACTACCTCTTTAGCAACAATAGCAACAACCTGAACCTTTTCCACCACTTGAACCCACCCTACAACACATACATAATAGTTGAGTTATGACCATTACAGCACCCAAACCAGCCAACCCTATTCCACCATAAAATAGACTATTAAAAACACTTTCACTGCACAAATTAGAACAAGATTGAGTGCCATTCTTAAACTCATTATTAGCCTGATTAATTGGATTGTTATTATTTGGTAAATTACCACCAGGATTTGGTATACCACCACCATTCGTAGGATCACAAATTCCTTGACATTTTCCCGGTAAAATTCTTGAATAACTAATTAAAAAAATACCCCCCGCTATAAAAAGCGCGGCAATGATAAACGTGATTACAGTACAAGTACACCTTATACAACCACATATTGAGAAACAATCCGCACAATCACATCCACCGCTACGTGGACGGTTACGTTTTTCTTTTTCTCTATGATTATTAGGTGGTTCCGGCCTTTGATTTGGAGGAATCATAGACGAAGGGGAATATGATGACGAAGGTGGAGCTTCGGAATATGGTGAAGAATAATTTTTTGATGGTACATTTGGGGGCTCGTAATTTTTTGGAGGTTTTGGTGAATTATCGTATGTTGATTTTGATGGTACTGGTGGTGATGATGATAATGCTGAAAATGATGCTGGTACTGATGATGGTGCTGGTGCTGGTGCTGGTGCTGGAGGAGGAGGACTCGGTGATTGAGTGTTGTTATAATTTTGAGTGCTAGAATATGGTTGCGTTATATATGGAGAAGCGTCAGAATAAAAATTATTGTTATATGGTTGCGGTGGATTCGGCGATGATGTGTATGGTTCAGAAGGATATTGCTCGGGATAGGGAGGATTACTATATGATGGCTCAGGTACCGGATTATACGAATTATTTTGTTCATACGGTGCGTTATACGTATTGTTGTTATTATTATAAGAAGGCTCAGCCTGTGGATTATACAGGTTATTATTGTAAGTCGGCTCAGCAGGTGAATTATAATTATAAGTCGGCTCAACGGGTGGATTATACAAGTTATTATTGTAAGACGGCTCGGCAGGTGGATTATAAAAGTTATTATCGTAAGACGGCTCAGCAGGTGGATTATACAAGTTATTATTGTAAGACGGCTCAGCAGGTGGATTATACAAGTTATTATCGTAAGGCGGCTCAGCCGGTGGACTATATGAATTGTTGTTTGGAGAAGGAAATTGAGGGGGAGGAGGATATTGAGAATAAGGTTCTGTATATGATCCTTGTTGATTCTCTTGAGGCATAATTATCGGAGGAGTAACTTGTTGCTCTGCTCCTGGATATTTTTGCTGTTGAGAATAATCGTAAGCACCGTTGTTATATGTATTATTAGGATATTGATATGCCATGGTTTTCCTAAATGTCGAGGGAAAAAAAAAAAAAATATATTTTATTCGAAATATTAAATATAGGTTCGTTCCTAGTTTTATTTTGGTCAGTCCGTGTTTTTGTTAAAAAATTTTTATACTAATTCCTTTTACTTTTTCAAAAAACAAGAATAGTTATTTAATGTTTTTCTTTATCTTTTTGACGTCGATTTTAAAACGAAATAGTAACACGAAATTTAAAAAGGGCACCCAATTACAAACTAGACAAGGATCTTCTCATAAAGGCGGTCCAAAAATAATAAGCATTTTGTATTTAAAAATTGTATTTGAAATTCTATTTCCATTAGTAATTCTTGGATTCTCCGATTTTGTTCTAATTTAGTAAGAAAGGTATCAGCCCAAGAAAAGGAAAAAAAAATCTGATTGTTCTTATTTTAATGATGACATTGGCAAAAAATAACGACACCGACGAAACTTATTATATTGGGTAAATATATTTAATTTTGACAAAAATTAAGTTACATAAGCTGAATTAATAATAATTCGTTTTTATTACAAGTTGGAACAAATAAAAAATAAAAATAATAATCGAATCCTTCTCGTGACTCGGATCTAAAACTTACAACCGCTTTTGAAATATTATCATTTTGAAGAAGGTTAAGGATTAGACTTTGTTGACATATCTGGTCTTTTGTTTTATCTTAATATTTCTTCTAAAAATGTCAATTTATTTAATATAAATAATTGTTATAATTAGATAAAACTAACTCCTGACAGGACAAAGATAACGGAATTTACATTTACCAAATGAAAAAATGATCGATTAGCATAAATAACTAGCAAATCATGATCGTGAAAAATACAAAAACTATGAAAAAATTTAATGCACATGTGCTCGTGGTTTATTTGTTTCAAAAAATAGTTTCAATCAAATTTATTTGTTATAATGACATACTTATAATGATTTTAAGTAAATGAACACAAATAAAAACGAATGTTTTAAATATTTGCATAGATTTGCATACTCATTATTTTCAACTGTTTTTAATTTTTACCTAATATTTTTCTTTCGCATGTTAAAGTGTTTATTTTTCAAATCTGCATTAAAAATGAGATTCTGATTCAAAATCCAAATTTTAGTATCTATTTTTGTTATAAAACGCTTTACCTAAAAAGTCAAACATGTTTATTTTTTTATTTATTAATTCTAACTTCTTTTTTCGGATATAATAGAATTTTATTTTATTTTTTTTTTTTTTTTTACGATTTTATTAGAAAAGACCTAATGAAAGGCGCCTACGTCGACTTAATTAGAAATCAACTAATAACAAATGCTTTCACTTCGAGGTCGAAAATTTCTTCTTTTTTTAAAGCTAGTTAAAGCGAAGATTTTTTTGCCGGCATCATAATATTAATGTGACTAAAATAGTTACGTCTCTTGTCAATCACTTTTTAATAATAAACTAAATTACTAATTCTTCGCTCTCTTTCTTTTGTTTTTTAAACATCTAAATTTAAATTTAATATGTATTTTATTAATTTTTTTTTAAAGGAATAAGCCTATAAGTATTTGTTAAATTTCTATAAATATTTTTTAATAACTTATTTCTAATGATTATAAAAATTTGTTTTTAATTTAAAATATCAAAAGATAATATAATATTTTATATTATAAAAGATATAAAAATAAAGTTGGAATTTATTCAATAATTTAAAATAAGGGTGTTTGAATACTATGTGAAACATAATGCCCTGTATCTACGACTTCAATTATTGTTAAGTGATTCATCTTTATCTAAAATTTAAAATTTCAATCTTTATAATAGATCCATTGACTATTATATTTTCTGAATTAATGAATTAATATTAATTTTACTATTATCAATGGTTTAAATTAATAAATCAGATCCAATGTTAAATTTTTCTTCTTATTTGATTAATGATATTATCTAGTATTTTATGTATATAATTATTATTATCTTCATTAGTGTCGTTAGATATATATTCTTTTTACTTACTTTAGCTTACTTTCTAACTTTAAATGTATAACCAGAATTTATAAAAAACAAAACAATAACCTTATCAAACCTAAAAAAACCTCTTATTTTAACTTTATTAAATAACTTATAATATCCTATGATACCTATACCTCTGTCACCTGAATATTTAGTTTTTAATCTATACGAATTGATTCCTTTAAAGTCTAGTATTCTAGAACTATTAATTCAAATACAGTTCATAATTCTTTATTTATTAAAGTTCTTGCCTACAAATAAAAAGCATAAAGGCAGACATTAATGCAAGAAACCTATTTATCACATGCTATGTTTCTTCGTAATTTTGAAATGAGTACTCAAACAACCTCGTCTTCTCATATTTATCAATCTATTATATCTTAATGCAATAATACAATTAGGTTGAATCATCACATAAGATGATCTCAGATCATTTGTATTATCTACTGTTCTTAGTAATAACATAACTTTAGTTTCATACATACTATATAATAGAAGTCTCATACATACTTCATTATTTTCATTATTTCTCTTATATAAATAATGTCTACTTATTTAATTCTTATTATTCAAAGTTTGCTAAAGCATATTTTATGATATTAATGTATAAGCATCATTTTTAGATTTCTTGCATTTTCTACCAAAATTAATATTTATTAAGGAGTCAAGATTTTGAACACAAGGTTTATTATTTGTAAATTATGACTAGTATTTAAGATTGAGGGAGTAACATTTGTATTATGAGTAGAAATAGTTGTTGAGTTTAAAGTTAAAATAAATAATATTAAATTTGAATTAAGTTTAAAAATATGTTTGCATTAGATGAACATTTTACCTTTTTTATGTCTAGAGTTCCGAATGAGTCGAGTCGAGTCGAGTCAAATTTATTTTATAAAATCTTTCAATTTGATTTGATTCGAGTTATATAAATTTTAAACTC